AGCAAATCTGAACTTTTAGAAATATCGATGACAGATACAAGTGAAAACTCAAATACTAAAAACACATTGTCTATTAGTTTTTAAACTAAAACCAATAATTGACTCCACAATTTCATTTGATTTTTTTCTTTAAAAAACCATTACACAATATAGTTGAAAATTTAATAGCTCTAAAATAAACAATATTACATAACTATAGTTCTATTATTTTAAAAATTATAAACAAAAAAATTCTGCACTTTAAAAGCGTGAATCAAATTTACATAACTATAAGTACTATAATTTAAGGTATGATTTTAAATAAATTTTTTTTTGTTTTTCCGTACATTGCAGATAACCATCTCCTATTTCTGTGTAATATATTTCCACTTCTTTAGTTAATTTTCCATGGTAGTTATCCTGTAAATATATAATTTTAGTAGGGCTATATGAATTAATATATATCAACTTTAAATTTTTTTGTTAAAGCCATTTTTGTAAATTTGTAGATGTATACAACAGTGAGTAAACACAATCAGTGACGAATTACAAATAGTTGTGTATCTATGCATTAGAGCAAATTGATACATAATGCAGAAAAATATAATAATTGCACAGAGTTTGATTCAAACAAGGGAAATCAAACACTTATTCAGTTGATCAATGTTTTCATTAAAACAAATATTTTTAAAAAATATTATTTTTTGTTTTTAAAATTATTTCAATATATACCTATTTTAAATAAATTTGGTTAACTAATTATACATCATAAAAATATCTAAATTTTTAAATGATGCAAAGTCATTATTCTAGACATGAAAACTTAATATAACCGTGAGATTCTATAATTTAATATATCAAAATAATATGTTTCTATTTGTATAAGTTTTGTTATCACACATTTTAAAATTTATTTTACCGCAAAAAGCACTTATCATTATTTTAAAATAATTTTAGTTTACATTTAATGTAATTTATATTTTGCATCTTCGACATTAACAATTTTAGAACTTATCATTTATATTTATATTTACTGCTCATTTTTCCCAAACACTTAAAACTAATTAGATTACAATTATAGTAATACATAAAATTTTATTTTGGTATTGAAATAAAAAAATAATGTATGTAAAAATATAAAATAATGAAGAATACAACAATAGGTTTTATTATTATTCAGTCATGTTTTTATTTATGTCTCTCCTATTTTTTCTTATTAAAAACAAACACGTCAAATTTATTATACTAAAAGTTATATGAATTATATGTTCTGAATTTTGAAATTAATATAATGTTCTGATTTATGTAATGTTATGATTTTTGTACAGATTAGAATTATTCAAAATGCTAAAATTTTAGTCCACTTAAAAATAAAAATTATAAACAAAAATTAATAAGTAGAATTTGAAAAACCGCATTAAATTTCTAATTTCTTTTGTATTCGACTTTGATCAGTTTGTGTCTGTATAATATGTTCTTTATACAATGTTTTATTGATAATGATTTTGTGAGAAGTGGTTAGCCAAACAGCTTCAAGGTTTATGGTTTACGCAAAAAAAATGATTGTAAACTTTTGATTATGAAATAATCTCAAACTTTATGACCAATCACTTTTGCTCACTAAAGGAAAACTAATTGAATTTCTAACATGAAATAAAGATTAATATTGCTTCCAAACAATCGGTACACCAACATAAGAGACAGAAGAGTTAAACAGAGAAATGAAAAGAAAACAAACAATTAATACAAAATGAACGAAGAAAAATAGCAAAATAGTAAATGGTTCTGGGTAATTTAGGATTTGTAAATCAAGCAACAACATCATAAACTAAGCACTGAATAATTAAGCACCAGTTCTAATCAACTTCTGCAGCACAAAGAAAGAGAGATCAAAACATGATCAAGTTATTATTTTTAGTAAACAGCACCAACAGGTCTTTCCTCAGTGATCATACAAAATAAGTACAAACATAAATATTACATTACTTGGGAAACCGATGATATTCTTCTTTATTTTGATCAAATCCGAAGATATTCAAAAATACCGTTTAACTTGGACCCCAAGATTTCGGCGAAAGATTACATAGCAGGCGTAGATTTATAAAATTCGCAAATCACAAAAACCTACGTTTACGGAAATTTAAGGAAAGATATCACAACCCATACAAT